ATGGGAGTGAAGGGTGATAGTGCCCCTTCCCTTCAGCTGGTACCAGCATTAGTGTAGCCACTCAGTGGGTTGCATCATGGAACTGGTCCTCAACTAATCATTACCTTTATATGAGGTGGCTTCTCCGGTAGATCAGATCCCTGAGCTGGCTGACTATGCAACCTCATGAGCACTAGTATGGCAAAAAGGAGGAGACAGGAATGTTTAGCCCAAGGCAGCGAAAGGAAGGTGGCCTGGCCCCTTCTGGCAGCAGTATGGACTAACATAAACAGTCCAAAAGCAAATTCTTAGAGATCAGGAGATGCTGAGTGCCCTCCCTCTCTTACATTTGCAGTATCTTGCAAGGTGTTTGGAACATTTATGGACAAACAGGTCCTTACACTGGGAAATAACACAGATTTTGTGGAGTAAGTTTGGTCAAAATCCTCTAAATCATTTCTGGATAAAATCCCAGTGTATCAAGCTGAAGCTTGAATCCTGATGTCCATAGATCAGCCCGCTTTTGACTTTGGAGGCAGTTTTGCTGCAGTAATGGGATTCTGTCGTTTTGCACGATTCCTTCCTTTTACTCCTGTCTGGGGTTTGGGCACAAATGTGAAGTTAATGCAGTGGTTGGACTTCCTTGTTCAGACTCTTCTCTGCATGTTTCCTGAGAAGAGAAGGGAAAAAAATACACCTTTTTCATGCTCAAATCTCATGCCATAGAACTAAAACTAGAATGAAAAAACACTGATTCAAATCTCAGTACATTTTTCTCCCTGCCGCAGTTTGCGGGGAGCATTAGAGATACTAGATTCTGAGGCAATCTGGAGTAACTGCCTTCGTCCTTGAACAGATGATGGTGATTTTATCCTTGCTACAAGCTCTGTGAGGGAATCTTCTTTTTCACAGCCTAAATATAAACCCTTGTAATACCAGGAAAGCCTGGGGCAAGCCTTGCTGCTCTAAAGCTAAGTAGTCCAAACGTTTGTTAAGCAAGTGTTAAATGATGTGGCAGCTATTTTGTTAAGACTGTCATTCTGTCGTGACACTGGCAAGGTTTTCGTGCTCCCCTGCCTGCTCCCCTGCCTGCCTACCTGCCTGTCTTTATCTACCTGTTACAGCATTATACAGAGATTTCTACAGGCTTAGCAAAATTGCAGTCTTCTGTGTTTGTACAGGGTCTAGCACAATGAGTGCTGTTCTGCAGCTGACATCTCAAGACACTATTATAGCACCAATAATAAAGATTAGCCCCTAATAATTCTGTTAATAATCACTTATTCTTCAATATGCACCATTTGCTTTTATTATTTATAAGACAGCTCTTAGCAATTTTGTTGGATGTGCAGGTGTTGCAGAGAGAGAGAGAGCATTTATACTCCAGACAGAATCAGAAGATGGGAGTAGAGCAGGTCTCATGGGCACATTTTTTTTCAGCTAAATTGTGCACTTACCACCTCACCCTGAGGTGTAAGAAATCACTCACTGGGGCTGCAGAGAATGTCAAAGCTTCAGCCTAATGCAAGCCTAATTGGCAGGACAGAAATTGTCTGGAGGAAGAAGAGAAAGGGAGGGATATAAAAAAGGTTTCCGTTTGTCCCCTGGAGTTCAGGGGGTGGGGACAAACAGCAGGATCCAAAGGCAAAGGCTTTCCCAGTTTCCCCAAGTGGTCAGGCACTGGTCAGAAAGTGCTAGCTGGCAAACTCACCTGTGGCTTCACAACCCAAAGTGGAGGCTGTTGCTCTTTCCATGCCCCTCTGCTAAATTCTGTCCTATCCCCTGGGCTCCCTCTTAAATGTCCTCTCCTGGGGCCTAAGAAACTTGTGTTCTTCATTGCCTGAGGACTCCGGGAGCCTCCATCTTGGGTTGCACGATAAGCTGGTCATGAGCCTTGGGACTGTTCCTGTGCAGGCAGGTGAAGTGCCTAAAACTTGGATGTCCTCCTGGGAAAAAGCTCAAATTATGTGGCCACTGTGCAAATATAGGCTTGCACTGCTCTCCTCAGCAAATGCTCTAGCAGCACGCCTCGAGAGATGGAGGTATCAACAGTGAGTACTTGTGTTCCCTGACTCCATTCATTCGTGTTAGATACTGGACAGAAGTTGACATGTAAATTTCTCTCTTAAAACACTTCTTTCCTCCACCAACTCTACATGCTGAACAGCCCTGAGCAGACATGTCTTAGGCCATCCTTTTAGTTTTTTCTCACCCTGTTTGACATGTGCAGGTGCTAAGCTGTCTTAAGGAGCCATACAAGTTCCCTCTCTAGCTGATGTAGGTACTTCACTTCCCTCTGAATTGCTCTGAGACACCTCCCCTCGCTCCACTAAAGGAGTGGTTTGTTTGGATTGGGTTGATCTGCTGTGGTTCGGATAACACGGTTGTTCTTCCTTGTGTTCACTTGTGTTTTCTGTTTCCTACCCACAGGAAGGCAGTCAAGGCAACGTTAGTTCTTCTGCCTCTGCTAGGCATCACCTATATGCTTTTCTTTGTCAATCCTGGTGAAGATGACATTTCCCAGATCGTCTTCATCTATTTCAATTCCTTCCTGCAGTCTTTTCAGGTGAGAGCAAGTTTACAGCTTGTGTCAGCTACTACTGAAAAGATCCTCGATGCTTTTCGGCCATGAAACTTATGGCAATGAAGTCCCTGATAGAAATATCAGTTGAAAACAGTTCAGCTTTGTCCATGTTTATGCAACAGATACAAAAGCATGTCATATGGGACGGAGATCTCTCAGGTGTGTACTGGAGGGATTCGTCTCCCTTACATCAGCAGTATGTTCAGTCTGTAGCTACAGCTCCTCACCTGGGCTCCATCTAAAGTCAGTGGAGAGATGATGTTTCATTCTACCCTAAACTGCCTGAGAGAGGATGATGAATCACCCTCCCAAGGTACCTCTCTCTTCACAGAGCACACAGTGAGCTGAGACTTAGACTAGATGTTGCTAAAACAAAGGGAAACAACTCCTACCTGTTGGGCTCGCTTGATTAAGACATTAGCTATATTTCTCAGCCTGTCACTCCAGCCCTCCTGCAATGGTGCGTGCACTCAGCCACCAGCCTGTACCGACTGAGAACTCATACCCTGTCTCCTCCCTTCCCTGAATTTAATAGGAGTTCTGCCAGGATGTAAAAGGCAGTGGAATGTGAGTAATTGCCCCAGCTTTCTGAGTTTGGCACAAACCCAAAAGTGACTGAAGACCTTGAATGGTATTTAGCCAACCATTTCTGCTTAGGTGTGTTCTACAGCTTTACCTTTGCTTAAAGACCTTCTTGAACCAGGGTGGAACTATGACGTTAATGTTTTACCTCTGATGTTTGCAGGAACAAACACTCTGATACCCAGGATATCAATACAAATATACAGCATGCACACTGTCAAGCCAAATCTAGGGTTATGGATTACAAAAGTTTTGAGGTTTAGATTACTGGTTTTGCTGATTGCATGTTTAGCTTTGAAACACAGGGCGTCCCACCAGAAATCACAAGTGAATATTCAAAATGAAAAATGTCCCTTTTAATCTATGAACAAAGGAAATTCAGCCTTTGCCAGTGAACCAATACACATTTTTCATTCCCTAAAATGAATTATATTTTTTATCTGCTGATGCTCAATGTCTCAAAAAATGCTACACTTTATTTTATTGTTAGTGTTACGAAGAGATGTAGGAAAGAAAGCACAGGGAATCTCTCCTTCATGGTGACAATAATTACAGTTCATTGCTGAAAGCAAAACAGGTAGGATTCCGCTCACAGGTTTAGAGATGAAAGTGTCATGGTGTTGTCATTTGAGCTTCCATTACAGTCATTGCAAGCTCTGCAGTCATTACAGTCACTGCTGTCAACAGATTCCACAGAGCAATTCAGCTCAGATGAGTGTAAGCAACCTGATGATACGCTTGCCCACACAAGACCATCTAAGGCCATTTGACACCCCCATGTAAGCGTCTGAGACATCCGCATAGAGCTGGCAGGCACGACATAGCCCCTCTGAGGAGTCTGTGCCATTTTGGGGAGGCGGCTGGCAGCTGTAGATAAGCTTTAGCACAGCTGAATTGTCCATCCCCTCTGTCAGCAGAAGGGCTGTCTAAGTTCTAGACTCATGTCTCACCTGTGAGCTGCAAGACACTTAGTATTTTCTAATGAAGTTGTAGGGTAAGGATTTCATCTGCCTAGAAGTGGATGATCTCAACAAGATCATGTTCTTACTCAGGGTGATCCCAGGATAAAGCTCAGTCCTCAATTCTACGTGTTAAAATCCCTAATAATTGACTGCTTTCTCTTCTTCCCAGGGTTTCTTTGTATCAGTATTTTACTGCTTCTTGAATGGTGAGGTAAGTGTTGTCCCCTGCTGTCAGTCTAATTAATTCTTGGGAGGTGGAACTTACTTGAATGCCTGATTATAGAGAAATGAGATGTTTTTACATGGGGTCATAGTCCCATCAGTCTCTTGCTCTTGCAGAAGTTTCTGTTAATGTGCATCTGAATTTCCCAGCCCTCTTTGTAGGTGTCCGTTGTTCACAAAGCTTTATCACATTCAAGTAATTACCTGGGAGGTCAGAGCAGAGGAAAAGAAGTCTTCTCGTGTTATAAAATTTTTATTCTTCATTTTAAGACTTCTTTGAAGCTTCTCATTAATTACTAATAGGGCATACATGAGCGTTACTTCTGAGCTGGGCTCTTGTTAAGGATATGCTGCAGGTGACCCATTTTTACAATGGGATTGCCATGCTGAGTTGAGTGAGTTCGTTTTTCTGTGTGAACACCTATCTCTGAGTGATCAATGCCTGTTGCATTCAGAAGAGGTTTGGGAACAGGGTCAGTGGTGTTCCTCAGAATTAAATTTAGGTACTGCTAATCAAGCAAGAAATGTTTCACTAATATCCCTCGGTGTTTGAATGACTTACACCCCAAAGTGTGAAATAACAATTTACATCTTTTCCTCTACTGACACTGCCAGTGTCTCATTTACCTGCATTTGAGTGTGTCATCTTTGTCCAGTTAAAATTTGTGTCTC